ACCGAAAGGAAATGGGGGGGGTGTGGGGGGAGGCACTAACGATTTCCTGTCCTTAAGAGTTACTGCGACCCCATGTGATCATTAGGCCCTAATTATTACACCGTCTTGTTACTCATTATTCCTCTGCAGCATCGGACTCTGCAGCTTTCACCTGTTCCTACTCTGGCACGTATTTTGAGTTTATAGGGTCTCCCGACCTCTTTGCCCGAGATTTACACGTACGCCCGAGAGCTGCTGCTGCTGCTGCTGTTGGCTGCGTTGACTTGGGTGTGACTGACCTCAGATGGTGGGCTGGGGTCCCATCGCACTCAGTTCCCCTCGTTGGTTTTTCTGCGTAGTTGCCCTGTGCTCTGTCTTCCCTGCGTCCGGTGATTCTGCCTCTTCTTCCATTTGCCCTCGGAAAACCACTCACCATGTCTGTCAGTCTCTCCTCCCCACACTGTTTGCTTCCCGCCTTTCCTCTGTTCTGTCTGTGAGGCAAGAAGATTTCTCAAAAGAGACCTTACAGGCAAGAAGGGGCTGGAAAGAGGTATTCCAAGTCATGAAAGGCAAGGACCTACATCCAAGATTGCTCTATCCAGCAAAGCTTTCATTTAGAATGGAAGGGTAGATAAAGCTCTTCTCAGATAAGGTCAAGTTCAAGAAGTTCATCATCACCAAGCTCTTATTATATAAAATGTTAAAGGGACTTATCTAAGAAAAGATAAAAACATGTATACTAAAATGACAGCAAACTCACAATTACTAACAGCCACACCTAAAATAAAAACAAACTAAGGAAACAACTAGAACAGGAACAGAACCACAGAAATGGAGATCACATGGAGGGTTAACAACAGGGGAGTGGTGGAGAAGTGGGGGGAAGGTACAGAGAATAAGTAGCATAGGTGGCAGGCAGAAAATAGACAGGGGGAGGGCAAGAATAGTATGGGAAATGTAGAAGCTAAAGAACTTAAGACACATGGACATGAACTAAAGGAGGGAATGTAGGAGGGAGGGGGTGTGCAGGGTGGAGGGGAATGAAGGGGGGAAATGGGACAGCTGTAATGGCATAATAAAATATATTTTTAAAAAGAGTAAAAAAAAAAAAAAAGAAGGAAGATGGCCTCTAATCATTGCGGAGCAGTGGGACCTGTTATTGGAAGTACCGTGATGCCCCCGGAAGGCGGGACCTTGCTTCCTGAAGACTGTGGGTTCCCCGAGGAGCCAGGTCCCATGTGCAGAGACAGCTCAGTATAATCAGGGTCACCGTGTGGGCAGCAGGGTTCAGGCAGGAAGAGGTCAGTGTAGGTCGGAGGTGCTGCCAGCGCCCGAGGACATGCTCACTGAGCTTAGGGAGAGGGGAGGGGAGGGGGAGAGAAACATCGGTTCCTTCTCAGACACACCCCAACTGGGGACCAGACCTGCAACCCAGGCATGTGCCCTGACCGGGAATCAAACCCACAGCCCTTTGCTTTACAGGACGATGCTCCAACTGACTGAGCCCCACTGGCCAGGCACAATGCATCATACTCTTGTTTCTGGAGTCTTCTACTGTGTGGCTTCGCGTCCAGATTTTTTTCTTCCAGCAAAATACCTTTGAGTTCCGTCTGTCCTGTAGTGTTGTCAGTCATGCCAGCTCACCGAGGAGTGGTGGTCTGCTAATGTGTGCCACAGTGGGCCTCCCCGTTTTCCTGCCAACAGACTGGGAGTTCCGGTGGTTTTCTGCTCAGGGCTGTTGCCAATGAAGCTGCCGTAGAATTGTGGCAAAAGTTTTTTTTGGTGGACATGTGTTTTCATTTCTCTTGGTTAAATGCTCAGGGCTTGGAACTGTTAGGTCTTAGGGTAAGTTTATGTATTACAAGTTACCAGTTTTTTATGCATGAGAATGTCAGACTAGTTTATTAGCATGGTGGCACCGTTTTACATTCCTCATCAGTGTCTGAATGTTCTGGTTGCTCTGCATCCGACCTTGTTCCGTGTCCTTAGTCTTGAGTTGTAGCTGTTCTCCTGTGTGCTGGGAGCTCCCGGTGGCTGCGATGTGCGTTTTCCAATGGCCAGTAATGCTGAGTGCTTTTCCCTGTGCTTATTAGTCATTTGCTGTATCCTTTTTAAAGTGTGTCTTAAGTTGTCCGCCTTTGTAAAAAATGATGAGTTGTTTGTTTCTTTGTTCTAGGTTTTAGGGGTTCTTTCTGTATTCTAAATATCCATACTTTTCCAGACTCAGTCTATAGCTTACAGATTCATGTTGTTAATGATGTCTTTTAATGATCAGAAATTTTTTATTTTGATGAAGTCTAATTTATCGTTTTTTTTTTTAAATTTGGTGGTTATCGTTTTCTTTTTTTCTGTCTTAAAACTTTTCCTACCCTAGGCTACAGAGGTATTCTTTCTTGTCCTCCAGATGTGTGACGGTTTTAGCTTTTACATTCAGGTCTGTGGTCCATCCTAAATCATTTTTGTGTGACGTATGAGGTAAAGGCTGAGGTCCGTTCCCTTTTCCCATATGAATAGCAGATTGTTTTTTGCACCATTTGTGAAAAGACTTTCTTTTCTTATTGAATTATTTTGACATAATAATCTACCCTGAAATGTCAGTATTTATTATTAGTTCCATTAATCTTCACAAAGCTTTACAAAGCACTTTCTGTTTGCATCCTTATTTGACTCAGCTTGGAGCTCAGCTATGGTTACACAGCTGGCGAGTGGCCGGGCGGGGTCTGGAACGAGGGCTTCACGACCCCAAGGCCGTCCTGGTCAGTGCCTGTCACTGGAAGTCCAGTCGGTGAGCTGCGGGTGGCATTGCCCTGCCTTTGGGGGGTGGTCTCACTGTTAGGTTAGGGTTAGGGTTTATTCCGAGTGACGTCGGGGACACAGGAATTCAATGGAGGGCATGTTAGCTCACAGTGACGGGACCAAGGTCACTGACAACCTGGTAATTGGGGGATGGGCGAGAGTGAGTGTGGGAGTTGCCCACAGAGAAACTGCCAAGCACTCTGGGCAACCACGAATGCTGTCCATTTACTCCGTCTGCTGGTTTGTAGACTTTTCTCAGTGGGCAGTAATACGAAGCAGCGCTTCGTGAAGATTTAATCCACATTGTAGACTCTCAGCTAGTATTTACACTAATAGGCGATTGTTTCCCCTTTTTGTGTGTGTTTGGATCTATCATCTCATGGACTAAAGATGCGGAACAAGGTTTGAATCCTGCCTTTGCCACTCACCAGCAGTATGACCTTGGGCAAGGTACTGCTAACCTCTCTTTGTATGGTTTCTTACCTGCCGATTCAGAAAACTGCAATACCTAATTAACAGTGTTATTTTTCGGTGTTCTTTTGAAGTCATCTTTTAAGCACAATGGTCGGTGTACGGTAAGCACTGAAAACACCGCCCGTCGTCAGCACACACACTTCCACACGGGCCTTCTGTGTGCAGACTGTTCTCATGCAGGGAGAGCGTCACTTGCTACGCTCGTGGATCCCGAGGCCACACTGGCCCTGGGGGACCCTGCGGACCCGGCAGCATTTGCGATGGAGGGGGTGGTCTGGCAGCGACACAGGAACATCAGTCCTCACTTCCTGCAGGGACGTCACGCTCATTAGCTCAGACATCGTCGCTCAGGTGCTATTGGCTGCTGTCCTTCGGGGTCCATTTTCAGCAGTGTCCTGAGGACAAGCCACATGGAAAATGAAGTCCCGCTTTCTGCCCAGCACATCCAGCCATACCAGCTGGAGGTCCCTTGCTTGCGTGCACTGCTGGGCAGGAAAACGGAACAGAGTCCAGCCACATCTGGTGCATTCATGGTCATTATCCCGCCTCCACTGAAGCCTCGCTCTGCAGAGCCCCTCCCTGCTTCCCTCCACCTCTGCCTGGGTGACAGTGGAACTTGCCCGGGAAGGACAGTGTCACTTGGCATTCACTGGGGCAGGAGGAGAGGATGCACAGTTCCTTCTAATGACTCAGCAGCCTCTGTCCTTGGGCCAGAAGCAAGACCAGGCCTCGGCAGCGTCGTCTGGGCCAACAGCGCCCTCCTGCGGGCCTGATGCTCTGCTCCAGCCAGACCTGCCACTAACAGCGCCCTGTTGTGTCACAGAAGAGGCTGCTGGTGGAGCACTGGTCTCAGTGTTTGGGCCCGACCCGAGTGAGAACACCACGTAGAATTTCTACAACAGGGCTTCGGTTTTGTTCTGTGGAATCGCCAGCCGAGGGCCAAAGAACAGGTGCTCCTGTCCATTCTTCTTCCTGCTGCTCTGCCCCGTGACTCCCACCTCACCTTTGCCCAGGTGCGCCTCTCTGAAGAAGCCACTCATCGAGGGAAGCGGCTGCCATGCTGCTCATGCTGCGGCCGCTTCTCGGGTGGGAAGGAAGTGGGTGGGTGCTTGGAGCTCGGGGTGCTGCAGGCTCCCTGACCACAGGACCTTGGGGGGCGGAACCTGTGTGTGCACGGCATGTGATGGGCCCTTGGTGGCCGGGCTGCTCTCCATTCGCTTTGCGCCGGTCAGAGGAGGGCAGGGCCTCCGGTTCACTCGGCTGCCGGGGAGTGTGGACAAGGATGTTCACATATTTGGAGCGTGTGTGGCGGTGTTCATTTCACGTGCGTGTCCACGTTCACCCCCTCTCCGAGCCCTCACTTCCCCGGCGTGTCCCTTCTTGTCCCCCAGTCCATGTCCTAGCCGGGCCGTTTCTGCATCTGTAGCTTCCTCAGTCCTGGTTTTTTGTCTCTGCCCCTGTCGGCTTCGTCAGGTCAGGAGAACCTTTGCCTCCTTAGCTGCCTCTCCGTTGGTGACAGGGGGTCCAGGTTCCCCCCAGTCATCGCCCCCGCTTTTTCAGAGCGCCCACTTGCTCTCCGTCCCTGGGGTGCAGGCGCACTGCCCGCTGCAAGCTGGACGCCGGGATGAGCAGAGCCGGGGCCCCCTCCCTCGGGCTCTGGGGCTCAGTGGGGAGGCCCTTGGGGCGGCAGCAGACCTCAGGTCTTGAGTTCTCCTTCTGCATATGGTGATGGACAATTCTCCTCTTTCCAGGATGCATTGAAAATGGCCACGTGAAGCTCGTGGTGATACATCTTCAGAACAGCGTGGAGCACCTGCCTCTGGTCGGGGAAGTCGGCCTCTGCTGGAGAACCGACGTCGTCGATGGCTGCGTGAAGGTGATTGCCGTTTCTCTTTCTAAGATAACCTGGTCTCTGTACGATAAGACTTGTCTGCTGATGTGTACGTACGATGCTGCTGTCCGGGTCCGGGGTTTGTGATTCTGGTGGCCAGAGCTTGTGCACGTCCCTTAGCCGCTGCTAGGCAGTTGGCACGTTTATCGCTGCTTCCCGAGCACCTTCCATGCCACCGGGAGTGGAGGGGGGCGGGGGTCCTGCTGCTGCTGTGCCGAGTGGGGCCGCCCCCCCCCCCCCCACAGCCCTTCTGTTTGTTCTGCGGAGACAGACTGGTGCTGTCCGTCGGACCAGGCAAATAGCGTTTTCTCAAAATGCCTTAATTAGTCATCCACCAATTCCACATTTATTTCAGTTATGACTTTCGGGACACGGCTGTTTCCTTGAGCAGTTAAATCAATTCATGTCACTATCAAAACTTGGCCACATGGACGGGAGAGTTCATCTAGTGTCCGGGAACTGGCAGAGAAGGGGGCGGGAGGGAGAAGAAAGGGAGGAGGGGGAAGTGGGGGGGACTGGAGGATGGATGCTCCAACCTAGTTCTGTGGTTTTTTGTGGGTCTTGGGCCCGTGGCTGCCCTGGATTTGCATGACCCTCCAGCTTTGTTCTGTGGGACGAACTGGGTTTTCACACTCTGGGGAGTTGGTCCCCTCTGAGTGCAGAGGGGCCCAGTACAAGGCTTTGTTCTGTAGGACGAACTGGGTTTTCACACTCCGGGGAATCGGTCCCCTCTGAGTGCAGAGGGCCCCAGTATAAGGCTTTGTTCAGCCATACTTGTGTGGACACCTTGTGAGAGCTGTGAGTGGTGAGGACAGAGAGCAAGAGCAGTATCTTATCATTGGGCATTAAAAGACATAATTACCATCAAATACAGCAGGCCCTTGAACAAGGCAGAGGTTAAGGATGCTGATCGTATTCTCCCCCTGCCCCGCCCCGCCGTGCAGTTGAAAATCCACGTACAACTTTTGACTCTCTAAAAACTTGCTACTAATAGTCAATGGGAACAGCCAGTTAACACACACTGTGTACTCCGCATGTGTTCCATTCGCTAAACCTGCAATAAAGTCAGCTGGAGAAGAGTGCATGCTACGAAGAGAGTCGTGAGGAGGAGGAGGACGTGGTCAGGGTGTATCGGGAAGCTCTGCTGTCCCCGGGGCCCCTGGCTGCTTGGTGCAAGGATGTGTTTCGGAGACTGGCTGTCACAAGCTAAAGAACGTTAAAGGCCACAGACCAGACTTTAGATTGGTCTTAAATATATGCACCAAAATAAAATACCAAGATCAAAAGAGACTTGGAGGGCCAGGAAAGGCGGACGTAAAGCAGACATAAAGCCCACCGTCCCACCCGTTCTGGTCCCCGACAGTGGGATGAGCAGTTACCTGGTCCAGCGGGAATTGCGGTCCTCGTGTAGACAGCCGGCCTCGCCCAGCCCTGATCCTTGAGCACATGGTCTCCAGTGGGATGGGGTGTGAGGAGGCCCAGTGGCCTACTGGACCGTCCCAAACAGCGTGTCAGTGGTGAGGGCAGTGACAGACCCCTCTTACAGCCGCTCCGCGGGTGAGGCTTCAGAATGAGCTCCAGGCGGTGGCTCTGTAGCTCCCTAACCCTGTGTGATACACACGTATAGGTTTCTAGCCCAGCAACTTGACGGGGGCACAGGAGTTCCCGTTCTTCCAGTCAGGGATGAGGCGCCTGTCCTCGGACAGTCCGAGGGTCGTCCCTAGAAAGCCTTCCCTTAGTGGGGCTTCGTTTGGGAGGAGGAGGAGGGAGCTCGCTGCCTCTCCCTGGCGCCTGCAGGTACATGGGGCCGGTTGGCTCTGTGCTGCTTATACTTTTGGGTTCTTGTTGAGACAACTGTTCTCAGAGCGGCTAAGGAGCAAAAGTCAGAGGTTCAGTACCGAAACTATGAAATGTGCTTTAAGAAATCAGGTTCAAGGAGCGAAATGGGTGATTACAGGTGAGGATGTGTGAGGGGCTGTGCCGTTCCCATGCACTGAAGTGCTGTGCGCCCGGCAGGGTCCACTGTGACCGGGAGCAGGTGAGGGGGGCCCATCAGCACAGGCCGGGTCCTGCGTGCTGCTGCAGGGCGAGTCCTGCGAGTGCTCGTGGGCGTGCACCGATTCCGGAGAGGGTGCGGACACGGTGCTCTCGAGGAGAGAGGCAGAGAGAGGGAGTGGAGGGAGGTGTGGAGGAGGCTCTGAAGGACCAGCACGTCTGAGCTCCACGCGGTTCTCCTCCCCAAACCATCCTCTTCTGTGCAGGGGCGGGGCGGAGGGGCTCCGAGCCCTTCCCCCTCACTCCCACCTGCAGACCCCAGCTCGTGCTCAGGTGGCCTTGTGCTTCTTCCGCCTCTTCTTCCCTGCGAGGTGCTTGACTGCTCACCGGGGGCACCACCAGGGCCCCCTGGTCTCGCTCCTTCACCCAGTGGCATGTGCGGGGGTGCAGGTGTGGTGAGGGACAGACCGCCCCACCCTCGTGACTCGGGCTGGCACCCCCCTCGCACCCAGCTGTGCCCAGGAGTTAAAGGTCCCTGGGGTTTGTTCTCTTCTCCCTCCTCTTCCACGTAACTCTTGTTCGCTTCACTTACACGTTCATACACTCATCAGTTAGACCCCACAGCCAGGTCGAATTGGCCACGTCATCCTCACACTTACAAATATTTGTGCTTATTTTGTAGAGTTGTTCTATAATGGACGTAACTCTTTTGGATGAATATGGGAAACCCTTTTGGTGTTTCAGTTCCCCAGTTTGCATGCGAGCGTCTCCCGGCCCCCGTGACGGTCCCGGCTCCACGGGGCCCACGTCCTGCATCGACTACGAGGACGCGGCGGGTGCGGTGCACATGGACCTGGCGCGGATCGAGGAGACGGGGGAGCACTTCATCGTTGGCCTGGAGCTGCGCCTCAGCCTGGCGAAGATCAACCGCTGGTTCGGGACGCACTACTGACCTCTGGCAGGAGGGTGGACGGATATGTGTTTTATTCTGAGTCAGCCAGATTGGTTCTTGGTGTTGGAAGTTACAATAAAACAGTGGTCTGCTCGATGCCTCCTTATTTCACATTAGAGATCATGATTGTTGGGTCATTTTAACGTTAGAATTTCAAGGGTTAAGTTTTAAAAACAATAAAATAGCACATCCTGATGAGAGAGGTCCTGAAGTCAAGAGAAGAGATATTTACTTCTCTTCTGCCATTAGAGTGTAAAAGCAAGAAACTGTGGTTCAGCCCGTGAACCACGTGCACACACACGTGTTGAATGGGTAGGTTGGAGCCGGACGAGAGGAGCTATTTAAGTGGGAGCCGCGTGGGGGGCGATCGCAATGAAAATGTGCTGCACTTGCGGCATCAGCAGCCACCTTCGTGCCCAATAAAACGGAGCAAAACAGCCCACCTCCCAGGGGGGAGGCGTGTCTTAAGTCCTCAGAAGGAACGGCCTTGCTTCAGGGGGCAAAGTGCTGCAGAGCAGGTCGGACTCGGACTCGGGAAGGAGGCGGCGGGTGAGCCTGGAGCCCGTGCTCGGCAGAGAGGCTGCGAGACCTGAAGGACCCTCGGGACTCACTCAGAGGCGCCCTGTGTGTGCGCGTGGTCTCCAGGGGCTCTGTTCTGCATTTGGTTTGGACTTTCTCGATGCATGTTTGGTTCTGTCTTCACCTCCAACTTGCAGTTATTCTTGGAAGCACTTTGGAAATGCGGTGCTGCTCCCACTGGGCTCGCTCGCCAACGCCCTTCCTCTCTGCCTCTCCTCCTCCTCCTCCTGTGGAAGGACCTGGTTGTTTCTCTTGGAGACGTGTGTGTGGCAAGTGTGCAGCATGAAGAGCTGGAATCCGGCAGCAGGAGACTCTGGTGGTAGACGCTGCCCCCGCCTCCTGCCCCCTGATCTTGGGCAGAGCCCTGGGGACGGAGAGCACAGGGCCCAGCTGTTTTCACCGTCGTCAAAGAGCATGCGCAGGGCTCCGCCCCTTCCGGGTGAGTACATATCGCAGCATGAAAGTGTTTTCTCTGAGAACTTGGAAGGCTCTTCTGGGGAGTGTTTATCCCGGTGTCGCCAAGGTGTGCGAAGCGCTGTGCTGGCCCCTCCCTCGTGCACGATCTGTTCTCTGTCTCCTTTCTCCGGAGGCCGTTCGAGTTCTTCTTCTTTCTTGGTATTTGGAAATTCCAAAATGATGTGCATTGGAATAGGTCTTTTCCATTCATTATGGCTCGTTTACTCTAAAAACTCGTGTACTGGAGTTTCGGATTCTTTTTAAATCTGTCAGTATTTTCTCTCTTTTTTCTGTAGCTTTTGCTAATCAGCCCATTCTTTCTGGCTTGATCCTCTCCAGCCTCTTCTCTTCTGTGACTTTCATCTCTGAGATGGAAATCATTCTAATTACTTTATTAGAATTCTCTTTTTAGTTTCTGAGAGCACATTCTGCACTTGTTTTATAAATGCAGTATTTTCTCAAACGCAGGGATTGGCAAACTTTCTATTAAGGGCCAATAACAGTTTCTGCTTTGAGGGCCATATAGTGTCTGTTGTAATTGCTCAGCGGGGCCCTCCCAGCAGGAGGTCAGCTCCAGACCGAACGGAACAGAAAGGCCTTACTGTGTTTCAAAGACCTGGACTGACTGGCGGCAGGTGGGAGAGACCTCCAGGCAGCGGTTCACACCCTCCCCTAAAGCCTCTGAAGTTACGCATTTTCATTTTCAAAAACCTGTCCATCTTCATCATTGGGCAAAACAGTAATAACTAGTTTCAGGCCAGAACCGTGCATGGGCACTAAGATCTGTGGGTGAAGGTGTGGTGAAAAATAAGGTATTGCACAGTCTCAGAATATCTTGCCTCAAAGTGCTTATGATCACAAAGAAAAGAGTAGTAAGTGCATGGGGAGGAGCCCAAAAAGGCAGCTCCTCCAGCGAGTCTCTGTTGTCCGCACCTCGCCAGGTGCCTCTCCTCCTCTCTGGGCTCTGACTCGCCGAGGTCACCGGCTCTGCCACTAGGGGTCCCTTGCCCCTCTGCCAGGGCCCCCACACCTGCCTCGGTGGCTCCGCTCCTGAGTGCACAGCCTCCTCACTTCACTCGGGCCCAGAAACGTCACAGTTGGCCACTGCGTATATTCGTTGTGCCAGGACATGACATACTGACCCTGGGATGGATGACAGACAATGGAGAGGAGGGCCACGCAGGGGCTTGGTCTGGGGGACGGTGACAGCAAGATGGAGCTGCACACGCACCTGCTGGGTGGCCGGCGGGGTGGGGCAGCCTAAGTTTTGAAAGGTGCCCCTGGATTAAGAAAGGTGAATAACCCCATGGGCTCCTGGCGTAGGGGCTGTCCTTCCTTGGTGGGGTGCTGGTGCCCTGGTCATTGGAGCCGGCACAGGCCAGCCCCAGAGGGCAGAAGACCGCCAGGGTGTAGGGTGGGCTGTGGGCTCAGGAACGGGGCTGGCCTGCCTCTGGCCTCAAGACTGGCTCAAGACAGCCTTTGAAAATTCCCCAACCCAAACCAACCACATGACAGCCACCGCTCCGCACAGCGGCCCTCGGCGCCCCCTCACCAGGCTGTCCCTCACCCCACCTGGGCCATGCAGACCATGCCCCACCCACCTCCCTGCTTCACCCCAGGCACGGTTGTGGGATCCGACCGTGGGGACTGGGAGACACTGTCAGTGCTTAGAATGAGGACACGGTATTAGTTCTCTGTGTCTTAGTGTTCAGAGATCATAATATAAACGATGGCCCCTGGTCAGGCCCGACCACCCTAGTGCTGTTTGGATTGAAATTAAGTGGTCGGATGCACGAAACAGAAGCATCGACCAGCCACACTCCTTTGTCTGAGAGGGTTCACCAGCCTTTTGTCTGTGAATCAGGAGGAATGGCAGTGCCGGGCGGCTCGAGCCTCCGGAGGGGTCTCGACTCGGTGCTGGCTCTCGGGGCTGAATCGTTCCAAGAAAGTAGCAGGTGCAAGCTCTTTGTCACGGACTTGATGGACAAGTATACAGTGCAGGGACGCACGCCGACCTCAGGGGAGAAGGCGGGGACGTCTTTATACCCCTCGTGCTCCAGGTGCAAACCCTCACCCGATTTAAAGCCAGCTCGGAGGTCTGACCAGCCCTCGCAGAGACGGTTTTCACGCCTGACCTGGTGGTCGTTTCTTACTGACGTTTTGGGAGTCTGATGATTACAACTGCTGCAGAGAGAAAACCTTCCTGTGAGAAACTCGCCCTGTGCGAAATGGTTTTCCAAGGCCCGTGATGAAGGAAACTGGTTGCACCAGTGTGGCTCCTGTGGGTGGCAGGGGACCGTGCGTGCAGACTGACCGGGTGTTCGGCTCCAGCACTGGACGTTTTTCTGTCCTTTTGTGGCCTCGATGAAGAACACCTGGATTTTCTAGACAAGCGTGGCTGCAGGGGTCCCCGGTGGGAAGCCAGGCTGCGGGAGGGAGGGAACACAGCAGAGTTGGTGGGACAGCAGGGACACCAGGGCACCTGGAGAAGTGGGAGCAGCTGCGGAGAGGGGCAGGGCCCTGGGTTCAGAGCTGCTGGATGCTGTGAGGTCCAGCAGGCTGCCGGGAAGGTTGGGGCAGAAAAGGCTGGTCTGGACGCCACTGGACGCAATAGCTACAGGCCCGGCTTTCTGTAAAACACGAGACCTGAGAGAACTTGGGCGGAGCCTTGGGTTCCCACCTCCATCATTTCTGGGGTTCCCAGTGAGGTCCCAGTTCCAAAAATGATGAGCAGGGCTGAGCACACCTTCCGAGATTTTTAAGAGTCTTCATTTCACCTCTCACTTGACCTTCTGGCCTTTTGGGGTAAGAAAGTGAACTTGGGAATTGCCCAAAAGGCAAGTGTGTGTTCACTGGTTGACATGTCATATGACTGAGTCACCGTGAAATGGGTGTAAAAGACACATTGACGTTTATGTGTCTAACTCAGAAAAGTGCCCGGAGACTGCAGACGAGGTGCCTGTGACCTCTCCCTGGCTTAATGGTGGCTGGAGACAAAGTGAGAAATTCACCAAGAAGCAGTAACTTGAATTTTTAAGATTGGGCATTTACTGAGTGCCAGGCACTGTGCACAAAGCTATCCCTGTGGCTTTTAGAACCTCCGGTAACCCTCGGGGAAGACAGTGTGATAACAGCGTTTCACCGTGGGGCCCTGGGGCTCCGAGAGGGGAAGTGGCCCGAGGCGCACATCTGGTAGCCTGAACCAGTGTCCTGATGGTTGCGTGTGTCCGGCTCCACACCCTGTGGAGGGGACAGGGCTGTTCTGAGAGAAATCCTTGTCGAGGAGTTCAGTTAGCACAGTGTAAACAAACATGGTCAGAAGTGGGACAGAGCCAATTCTGCCTAACGGCTAACACCGCTGGGAAGGGCTGTGCCTGCAATCAGAGGCACTGGTGCAGACCGACGTAGGGAGCCCAGGCTGGCCGAGGAGGCAGGGCCTGCTCCATCGAGGGGAAGACTCTGGTGCCAGAAAGGAACCCACTGGTGAATGGAGCGGTTCAGAGCTCAGAAGCAGACTCACTTGTCAGACACGTGCTTTAGGATAAAGCGGGTGTCAGGACTGCGGGAGGAAGGTGGCTTTGATGGGTATCCGGGGACAGTTCTGCAGTAGCCACCTCACCCCACACCCAGAGACACCTCCCAGGCAGATTACAGACCTAAATGAGAGAAGCAAAGTCAGAAAGCTTCTGGGAGACAGTGTGGGCACCCTGCAGCTCAACAGCAGTAAACCAGGAATCTTCATTTAAAAAATGGGCAGAAGGCTTCCTAGACATTTCCCCAAAGGAGACATACACACAGCCCGTAGATGCATGAAAAGATGCTCCGCCTCACTGATCAGGGAAGTGCAAATCAGACCCCAGAGAGGAGTCGCTTCACACGTGTTAGGGTGCCTGTTACAGAAAAACCTGAAAGATAAGTATTGTTGAGGATGCGGCGGGGAGGGAAGCCCTGTGAGTGGGAACGGAAAATGGTGCAGCCACTGTGGAAAAGAACGTGGAGGTTCCTCAAAAATGAAAACTAGAACTACGGTGTGAGCCAGCAGCTTCAATTCTGGGTATTATTCAAAATTGAAGTCAGGATCAC